GTCGCATGTTCCAAATTTTTAGTTTTTTTAGTTCAAACTATACAGTTTGGAAAAAAGCTTCTACGACAACGTGCGCTCCTCGAATCATGCCCCAATTCATTAACGCGCTCTAATCATAACCAGGATTACGGTAACACCCATTCACGCGGACTCCCAAATCTCTCTTGTCCTAGAAACACCAATGCTAGAGCAAGTGAGTGGGTACAATAGGATTACTGTTCAACATCGGTGCATTTTTAAGTATGTACAAGCTCCAGGAAATCAGTATTGTGTTGTAACACAGACATTCGTGATGTGGCGCCCTAAACGAGTTCGGGTGTGATCGCAATTTCCTTAAATTCGAGGATAAACTGATCGTTACGGTTAGCAACGTGGGTATAGAAGTGTCTGTGGGAAACTTCTGAGATTCCAGGAAACTAGAAGGAAGTCCTGTAAAATTCCCTGATCTGAAGTATGTTTCAGGGCTCTCGATTGTATCATTTCCTCCAAATCAAGTGATGTTCTCATTCCTACGAATGTCTCGTGTATCGTGAACCTAATCGCGAAGATAACGCGCCCCAGCGCAATGACCGCGACGCGACCGTTCGCCCCTCGCTGATGTGAAATGTTCGTTTGGCATTTAAGTTCTTCTCTGGAAGAGCGCCAGCGTCAAGACTGTGTGTCACACTTGTTATCAGAAACCTCGAATAATTCGTAAGGTTAGGTTTCAGAGATTTTTTTCAAACTTTTTTGTTTTTTGGGGTAGTTGGTTGATTTGTGCCTTTCTTTGATTAAGTTTAGATTGTTGGTCTGGTGCTCCGTTCCTCTTTTCTTCATATCAGTAACTGGCGCAGTTTTTCCCAAACCTTAGCTTCCTTTGAACATTTTCAGTTGCAGTGTTTAACGGTTCCTATATATCTCCGTAGCCTAGGAACATTCGTTTGTTACGTGTGAACCTCACTTACACAATATTTCCCGATATCCCCGCGTTCTTAATGATATTGCTATCTCAGGCATTCGTTTTTTTTTATTTCAACCTGTTTCAGAGAAAGGTTTGCCATAATGTCCAAGCAACGTGGTCAACAATGTATTGTGGAGTATGTGATGACTTTTTTTCAATATTTATTCTTAGCGAAAAAAGAACGCTTTTATAGGAGAATGACCAAAGAAGAGATAATGCGAACGTTTTTCGCTCCTCTTGAAGAGCTAAAACGTCAGCAGCAGGCACCAACATGGTGCAATTTATCAGAAGCACGTCTGTTTATGTTGCTGATTCGCTTCAAACCTGCTGGTTCGTTTCCCTTCTTGTCTTTATTTTCTTCTTTTTTATTTTCTTCATTCAAAATCAGCGGCCTGTGGTCACTGTTAGGTGCGCTTCTTGGCTGATTACGCGTAAGGATAAAGGGTTCAGTGCCCAGGAGACGCTAAATGAGTTCGAGGAAGAGGTGGGGCCCGCAACGGCCCGTCTCTGTCTCTCTTCAAACAGGGCACGTGCTGTCGCTGGGGAAGGTGAAGGTTTTCGAAACGTACACCCCTTTCAAAACTTTCCGAACGGTACAAACCTCCCATCCTACCTACCATTTGTTCAATTTTCCTAAGTACCCACCATTTTCCACAAAACCTGTGTTGGGGGGCGGTACCTCCCAAGTTGAACATAAAAAAACGGGAATACCAACAACCAAAAACACTATTAGGCCAAAAAGACCCACCTCCCTACGGCGAGCAAATATGCCCCCACCTCCGGGACCCCAATGTACGTCGTTATCTGGGCTAAATCTTGCTGGAGCGCCTGAGACGTCCGAAGTCGCCACGAGCTAATGTCGCGTAGCACATACAGTTGCAGTGCGACCTAAACCTTCCGAACTTCGTTAGTGCTGGGAAGGGAATCGAAGCTAAAACGTAACATCCAAAAATGTCCCCCCCCCCCTGTTACTTTGTGCATGCTTCGAGTATCAAGTTCGTGTTTCATTCCGAACAGGCATGTGACGGTAGGTCTACGCGGCGTCGCGCGCGACACTCGCAAATACCGTATGCTTGCGACTGAAGCGCGCTCGCCATGGCATTGTTAGGGCGACAGTGACATTTCGCTGCTATTTCTTTTCACTAGGAGAGTCCGCAGAACCTCAACAAAACGACGATAAGTA